TTTTTTTTTTTTTTTTTAAATGCTGTTTTTCTTTTCCTAAAGGTATTTGGTTTGTTCAAGTCAGTACTGGCAAAAACTGTGATAATAACATATTTCTTTGAACCAGGTGGCCTGTGGACTCAATCATACTGTAGCTGTGTCAATGGATGGTTCAATGGTTTGGGCTTTTGGAGATGGAGATTATGGTAAACTTGGTTTGGGAAATTCCACTGCAAAATCCTCACCACAGGTTAGAATTCAAAGGGAAAAATATTCTCTGCATAAATTTTCACTGTTGCTAAACATATTACACGGCATTCAGCGTGCAGTTTTCAGAATTAACATTATTAATTCTATATGCTATACTGTTGTAATAAAATCTACCATAAAGAATTCTGATAGTATGTTATACTAAGCATGACATTTTAAAGAATTTCGAGTACATAATACTTAACCCTACGTCAGAGATAATACAAATAGAGAAAACTGTAGGGTTAACTCAAAGGAGAGAGGTTCTTAATTTTGCTATTTGTGGGTAAGCTTGTTTACATACTTGTCCACTTCCTCTCGTGCCACCTCTCACCAACCCCAATAAATAAAAGGTATTTTGAATCATTGTGCATAGAATAAGAAAACAGTGTCTCAGGTTGTTTTTATTCATTCACAGGCCTTAATTAGAGTAATGCTACAAAATATGTATTACGTTGAGGGAATTATAAAAATTCTTTTTGGAAACAGAAGTTACAGATGAAATCCATGTTTATTTTCTGCTTATATCTTATATCTGCCATAGCTCTTTGTCCTCTCATTTACCCTTCTAGAAAGTGGATATTCTCTGTGGAATTGGCATAAAAAAAGTTGCCTGTGGAACACAATTTTCTGTTGCACTGACAAAAGATGGTCATGTATATACTTTTGGACAAGGTAGGACAATCTAACATTTGGACCTTATATGTTTTTGTACACTGAAAATGAAAAATGAAAGTGAAGGACATTAACACATTTATAAGAGTAATCTTGGAATTTCAACAGTGCTGTGTTAATGTAGACACAGATCTGGATTTCAGGCCTGTATGTAGTTTGATCTCACTATAGCCTCACAATTTAGTTTTTGAAGGGTGTTTCATTTAATTTTTGACAGGTGTTTCCATAAAATTTCATTGAATTTCATATGTCTAGAACCACTGGGTTCTTTGAACGCTTGCTTTACCTAATAGAGTCTATATCTGCCCAATTTGTTAAGAGTCTGGGCAGGCAAATTGCCAGCATCACTGAGTTAAACACATTTTTTCTTTTCGAGTCAATTAATTCAAATGTGTTATAAAATCATGTGATGACTCGTTTTAATAGATTTTGATTTTGTTTCACTTTTAAAGTGCAAATAACTTCAGCAGTATCCATAAGCACAGCAATGCTTTGTAGGAAATGTACACTAGATTTCTGCATAATAAATTACACTGATGTCCCAGTTCTAAGAGTATTCAGAATTGCTTTTTGCCCCTGCCCAACTTCTGCCTGCAAGTAAAATTAACTTGTGATGATCTTTACATATATAGGCATTTCCTTGCAATTTCAGATCGCCTTATTGGTTTGCCAGAAGGTCGAGCTCGAAATCACAACAGACCCCAGCAAGTCCCAGTACTGTCAGGAGTCTTCATAGAAGACATAGCTGTAGGAGCAGAGCATACACTAGCTTTATCATCCACAGGCGATGTATACGCTTGGGGTAGCAACTCTGAAGGGCAGGTATGTCCCTGTTTATTTCTAACCATAACCACTGTATAGATGTGGTTGGAATATGTATCTGGTGGAAAGTCAAGCTTTGATTTTTGTTCTTTTCCTTCTCCTCAGCTACAATAACATTTCAGGTTTTCTCCACAATTTTCTTCTTCATTTCCCATGCACCTGCATGGCAGCAGGTGGGGAAAGCACTGACATCATTCTATCGGAATGCTTGCTTGTCGAAATGGTTTTTGAAAGAAACTTCACTGATTCATGACCTACCATAACTGTGTTTGAATACTAAAAAAAATTATGATGGTTGGCAATCAGATTCTTTTCATAAAGATTAATTTTATACGAAATCATTTTTACAAGTCAAAAGCAAATAGTGAATATTAAATACTCTCTTTGCTTTGGGACACTGATTTTTATCACTGCCCTTAAGCATCCATTCTCTTCCCACACCCAGTGTATAACTCACATTTTTTGGAAGGATTTCAGATGTTGAGTTTTGTATGCTGCAAGTATAAGACCAAGCCTCTTGATGCTTTGACTCTCGGTGTTTCAAGAGTGTTGGGCAAAGTTAGTGCTGTGGCATTTCAGGGGTGAGTTTTTGAGTGGTTTTTGAGCAAGTTATTTAGAGTAATTTCTAAAAGGAACGGTTGTCTGTTTTTACAATCATGCTTTTGTTCTGTGTTGGAAGAGAAAAACTTAGTGTAAAAAAGAAGAGTAGAGGAACTTGATTCTGAAAGCCTATTTTGTATACTTTCCATTGCAGTGTAAAAAATTTGGTGGTGTTGTAGAAACAATTTTGTATGCTCTTGAAGTACAAAGTTACCACTTTTACAGTACAAAATTCAAAACTACTGGGAAAAAATCAGAAGAGTTTCAGTAAAATTTCATGCTGATCGTTTTTTCAAACACTTGCAGGAATGTACTTGCTAGAGCAAAAGTGGTATTCAGATTGCACGGGAGAGGTATGAGCTGTGTTGACTGCATGAGAAGGATTGTGCAATATAGATGACTTAGCAGCATAGCTTTATTTCTCAGTGTACAAAAGATTGTGTAAAAAATCTCTAGCTATTCTCAGGCCTCTTTGCCACCTAGGTTTGCTACTGCCATTAAGTGTGGATGTAATATTCTATCCAAAATGAAAGGTAAATGCAAGCATAACTAAAGATCTATGAGGCGAATGTTTTTAAGCCAGTATATGGTGTAGACATTTTTACCATTTGTTCTGAATCTTTCCTTGAGAGTTTTCTAGAAGCTTTATCACACTTGTTGATTCTTATTTGTGTCTTACAACTGTTACAATTTGTCAGCTTGGACTTGGCCATACTAACCATGTCAGAGAACCAACCCTAATAACAGTCCTGCAAGGAAAGAATATTCGGCAAATTTCAGCAGGACGTTGCCACAGTGCTGCCTGGACAGCACCCCCGGTTCCACCCAGAGCTCCAGGTAAATAGCTGAGATGGTTTGTATGGTCATTTGAGTTAGTCTTTGTGTTTCATGAGGGATGAGTGTAACAGGAGCTGTGGAATGTTGGGCACAAATTGGTTTTAGTTCATATCCACCCACCCAGGTTTTCAAACTACCTTAGTCTCTCAGTTTTGCAGTCCTTTATGAAATGATGTTTTCTCTCTCGTGTGGCAGGTGTATCAGTGCCTTTACAGCTTGGCTTGCCTGATGCCATTCCACCACAGTATGGGGCACTGAAAGAAGTGAGCATTCATACAGTAAGAGCAAGGCTCAGACTGCTGTACCATTTCTCTGACCTCATGTACTCTTCATGGAGATTACTTAACCTCAGTCCCAATAATCAGGTAAAACTCCATTTAAAATATATATTTTAGTCCTGTTGTGTTGTACCATATCACTAGCAAGCTTTTCACCAGGCCTCAGTAGTAGAGTCTGTAAGTTTTTTGGTTTTTTTTTTCTAAAAAATAAATTAAATATACAAATTTGGATTAAGCCAGGCTTTGTCAAAGTGCCATTATATATTTTCAGTTATGTTAATATTAACATGCCAGTAGTTTTCAAAAAGTTGCTGTCCTCAAAACTGTAAAAAAGAAGTGCCTACCTTCTTTGTGAAATATTGAAGTGCTAGTGAGTAATTACGAAGGTTTTATTCTACGTAAATGAACTAATGACCTTTATTAATATGCTTATTTTCATACTGCTTTATTGCAGAACAGTACATCTCATTATAATGCTGGAACATGGGGAATAGTTCAAGGACAGCTAAGACCCTTGCTAGCACCACGAGTGTACACGCTCCCTATGGTACGCTCTATAGGGAAGACCATGGTTCAGGGAAAAAACTATGGTCCTCAGATTACTGTAAAAAGAATATCAACCAGGTCAGTATTGTTTTCACAGGCAATGTTTTTGATACCAAGCGAATACTGATCTTCATACGTTTTCCATAACCTGTTGCATATCAAACTCTGTACGTCTTCATTATGAACAAATGACTTCAGTAACGTATTCACTTTTATGAGTTACATTGTATGGCTGTGTCTTCTTTTCTTCAAAAGGGGTCGGAAATGCAAACCCATTTTTGTACAGATTGCAAGGCAAGTGGTAAAGCTGAACGCATCAGACCTTCGCCTGCCTTCTCGTGCCTGGAAAGTGAAACTGGTTGGAGAAGGAGCTGATGATGCAGGGGGAGTGTTTGATGACACTATTACAGAAATGTGTCAGGTAGGCAAAATCTATCAGTTTGAAATGCCTGGTAGAGTTGTTTGTTTTGTCTGATTTTGTTTGTCAGTTTTCCTTTATGCAACATAGCAATTTCTTCTTGTTCTTCAGTCCTGAGCCACAGTACTAGAACTGGCTTCGAGGGGAATGCCTCTGAGGGGGGAAAAAAAAACACCTTTAGATTGTAGCAAGGAGATGGAAAAAAAACACAGTGCACCTTAGTGTTAAGTAAATCCCCTTGAAGTTCTGCAATAGCCCCTACATGTTACAGGAGCATTTTGCAGGCACCCTTTTTTCCCCGGCCAATATTTTCACTAAGATTCCATCCATTCAGTTCTGTCCTCTGACAGATGTTTCATAAGATCGTGTATGTTTTCACATACGTGAAAATAAATGTCACTTCTCAGGTTCAGTGCTGGAAAGGAGTTTCACCAGCAGAATTTATGCACTTTTACCTTAACTTGAGCCCAGATATTTCTGCTGCTGACAGCTTGCTGTTGTCTTTTCGAATTCATGATTTATGTTTCTTTCCTAAGCAGTTTGCATTAAATATGAGAAAGGGCTAATGAAAGTTCAGAACAAAACTAATGAAAACATTTGTTTCATCTCTAGTTCTTGCAAAAAAGTACCAATAGGGTGTAGAGTTTAGGGCTTCTGATCATTTCCAGAACAAGTATCAGCAATGCATCGCAGCGCAGTCACAGTAAAACAACCATTATAGTCTGATGTAAAGGCAGGTCTTTAAATAAACATGATTTTATGAATAAAAATCACCCCATTTTGTTTCTTTCCCTTAAGCATTACGCAGGAATATTTAAGTAGTTATCATCACTGTAGTACAATATTCTGTCTTGTAATGTATTATATAATGTCACAATATTCCAGTTGTTCCCATGTAAGAATGTTTTTTTGCTGTTGTTATTGTTTTTTAAGGAACTTGAAACTGGAGTAGTAGACCTGCTTATTCCTTCCCCAAATGCCACAGCTGAAGTAGGCTACAATAGGGATAGGTAAGTTATCTAGAACTTCTTTTTACTTCATGTGTCAGTAGGTGAAAATTAACTTCTGTTTACTATTTTATTTATTTTTTTTTACCAAATGATGAGACTTCATGATTGCCCCTAGTATTTTCTTTCCTCCAAGTTGCGATGCTGCTTCGACGTGAAGGGGAGGGCATGTTTGTAACACAAACTTTCTGGCTTGCAGAATTGAGCATAGCATCAGGAATGTTGCAGTGTGTCGTAGCGATCACCCGTTGCTGATAATTGTGTTGGCAGTTACTGTGCAGTGCTTAGAAATACTTGATCTTTTGCTTCTAATGAAGCAGCATAGAAATTATACTGTAGCCTTCGATGTCTTTTCTTTCAGGTTTCTCTTTAACCCCTCAGCATGTTTAGATGAGCATCTGATGCAGTTTAAATTTTTGGGCATTCTCATGGGTGTAGCTATTCGTACAAAAAAGCCATTAGATCTTCATTTGGCTCCAATGGTCTGGAAGCAACTTTGTTGTATCCCACTCATCTTGGAGGATTTGGAGGAGGTAGATCTGCTCTATGTGCAGACCCTCAACAGCATTCTTCACATTGAAGACAGTGGGATTACTGAAGAAAATTTCCATGAGGTAAGTTATGAAAGTGATTGCTTTTAGCAGATTGACCTTAACACTTCTGTTTGTTTTATTGGGATAACAGGGACTTAATATGCATTTGGAATTGTTTGTGATCTGAGTATAATCTGCATGACTGATAGTAAAATACTAAACATACATCACTCGAGTGACTTAAGCTGAACAAAGCTTTTCTGTTTTGTGTAACAGATGATTCCTTTAGATTCTTTTGTTGGCCAGAGCGCTGATGGCAAAATGGTTCCCATAATCCCTGGAGGGAACAGCATCCCACTTACCTTTTCAAACAGGAAAGAATATGTGGAGAGGGCAATTGAGTACAGACTTCATGAAATGGACCGTCAGGTAAGAACCATATCGTGACCCTCTCCACTGTTAACGTGAACAGCATTTTTTATTTATGTAAGTTTCCATTTCGTATTCCAGAGAACAAGAAAAGCTTGGTTTTCTGCATCTCGGATGGGTCCCCAAGGATTGTTTTTCCCCTGCACACTTTTCTATTTTGTTTGCTTGTTTTAGGCCTACTTTTCTTAGCAAATGCATGTTTGACAAAAGAAATAAGTGCTATTCTTTCACTAGGTTAGTGCCATTGCATCTGTCATCCCCTCTTGGGAAACTCCACACAACTATACTTACTGTGCAGTATTATTAGATATCACAGCAACATAGTCCAGCTGAAGTAAACAGTATGAACAAACATTGGTTTTTAAAACTGTTTCTCTTTTACTTTAGCACTGAAACTAAAAATACAACGTTAAATGTTCTGAGAAGTATTCATTATCTATTTTCATAGTTCTGTGTATTTTGTCAGTTGTGTAGTGAAGCCCATAAAAGCATGAAATATGCTGATTACTTGTGAGGAAAATTATTTTCCTTTTACTCCATGTATAGATATATGCAGGGTATTGCTACCTGCATTAGGAAGATAACTCTCTAAACAAGGTTAACCAAATCATGTCTTCTAGAAAAAAAAAACCAACTTTGTTCCAGCTCAGATGTATGATATCTGCACCACTTTTTGGTTCACTATTATTTGTGCTGAAAACTTGCACTTGTAAGTTCTTCTATATTGTGTCATTTGCAGTTACTATTAAAAATAATTTCAGTTTTGTACCTTTAATATTCTCCAGAATTTTGAGAGAGGATGTAGTAGACCTTACAGGGGATGCAAATGTATTTGGCAGATGTTCTCTCCTTTTACCCTGTTCCTCAGCAGATAAGTTGCCACTGCATTTATTTGGAAGTTACAGTATGTGACAGAGGTAAGACAATTGCATTCCCAGTGTTTCTTCTGTTTTGGGCAATAGGTGGCTGCTGTAAGAGAAGGCATGTCTTGGATTGTTCCCGTTCCCTTGTTGTCTCTTCTGACTGCTAAGCAGTTGGAGCAAATGGTCTGTGGAATGCCAGAAATATCAGTTGAAGTTCTGAAGAAAGTTGTGCGATACAGAGAAGTTGATGAGCAGCATCAGCTCGTGCAGTGGTTCTGGCATACCCTGGAAGAATTTTCCAATGAGGAGAGAGTCCTTTTCATGAGGTTTGTGTCAGGAAGATCTCGATTACCAGCCAACACAGCTGATATCTCTCAGCGATTCCAAATAATGAAGGTTGATAGGGTAAGATGCTGTTCTTTTTATTCTTTTTTTTTTAACATTATCTGTATTTATTATTCCTATTTAGCTTAATCTGTGCATTGGCAGTAGGAGCCAGGTTTCCATAATTGTACATTTACAGAGAAAACGTGGAGTAGGATATTCTCTGAGGTATTAAAACCAAGGATCTTAATAGTGGAGGAGCTGGATCATTGCATGAATTGGATATGAATTCATTTGGTGCATTTACTGTAATTCTGTGATTGGAGGTCAAGACAAGCTCTTGCATGAGGAAACCAAACCTCTTCTGTTGTAACTCGTACACAGTCATTTTCTGTTGCATTTCCTTTTTTCATTTGATAATTTTTACTCCCATAAGTTTGTCATATGACCGTTAACAAACTCTGAAGCCTGAGTTTTACAGTATGTATCCTTGAAGTGCATCGTGTACATGATGCCTACATTTTGCATTGTGTCATTGTTTTGGGCAGTGAAAGCACGTTCTCTAACTGTAAGAATCAAATATTTGGGCAAAGGTAACAGTGGTTGGACTGTCATCTTTGGTTAGGTGTCTTTCACGTCACCTCACGTTAAGGCATGGTACGGTACATAAATTTGAATGTTGTTTGTTATCTTCCAGTGGGTTGCTAAATATTGCGATCAAGAGTTCCAATAGTTGTGTTTCCTTACCGAGCTGAGTAAGTCAGAGCAGTTGATACAACAGTAGTTTGTCACAGCGTTCAGGAGGAGACAGGAGATGTAAACATGAGATGCTAGTCTGCTTCTTAAGAGAAATATTGAGGTAAACTGAGAAAATGCTGGATGATAGAGGCAGGGAAGATGGAAGCAATGAAATATGGATATGCTGCATTTTCTACTTCTTATTCTCAAACTTACCGGTGTCCCACCTTTTATCCATTTCCACAGCCTTACGACAGCTTGCCTACCTCACAGACTTGTTTCTTTCAACTGAGGCTCCCACCTTACTCCAGTCAACTAATCATGGCAGAGCGTTTGCGCTATGCAATCAATAATTGCAGGTCTATAGATATGGACAATTATATGCTCTCACGGAATGTGGACAATGCAGAGGGCTCAGACACAGATTATTAACATTCTGTGAACAAAATCATCTTCCTTTTACTGAAAATAGTGCCCTAAGTCCAATTTGTTGTTGACATAATTTTATGGTAACCATAGATGTTTTAGGAGCATAAAAGCAGATGTTAATAAACAGTGGCCACATTTTAGTTACTCTAAATGTAACAAAAAATTAGATGTTTTTATTTTTTTGTGATTGTAAAAAAGAAAAAAAAGAAAAAAAAAGTATGATCAATAATTTTTTTTTCTCCTTTTTTTGGTCACTTTTGATAAGTTTGCATGGAGACATTTGGGTGCATTTTTGTTGGGAATAGTACATTTGTAAGCCCTCCCAGTGGACATGAAGGGTTGTACATTGTGTATAATTGTTCATTAGCAAGGGCAGTTTTACATGAATATTCACATATTTATTTTGTTCTAATTTGAATTGCCTGTGCAGGGTTCCTTATGCAGAGAAAAATAAAGCAAATTCGAGAATTGGTTGCTTGGATGCATTTGTGAATTGTGTATTGGTTTATTTAGACTTCGTACTTCGTTTTGTCTCAGGAAATGATAGTATTACCATGTTTAGTCAGGCTGTGATGTTTGGAACACCCTGAAATGTTTTATCTTCTACTGTCTGATGGGTAGGACTGTGCCCTGCGTTCATGTCTTTGAGGTTCAGGTGTACCACTGTTTATGCCATGTACTTCAATACAAGTTAAAGTTGTACGTGATTCCTTCTTGACTTTCATTTGGACACTTTTCCAAGTATTCCTTGTTGACAGTAATAATACACAGCCGCTGTGACTCAGAAACAGAGTGCCAATAAATGAAGGTGGCAGGACAGTGGTTGAAGCTGTGGATTTTATATACATTCCAAGTATCTGCCTTTGATTTTAGTAAACCACATGTGTTTGGTATCTCCTGCAGCTGTAATTGTGTTATAATCAGCAGTATTCAGTAACATTCGTACTTGGCTGGGGAAGTAATGTACTATTACAAAGAAACTTTTATTTGCGTCTTAGGGAAGTGCTGTGGAAGATGATCCTCTTTGGTCTCCGTACCACAACCATAAATTGTGCCCAGCTGCAAATGCTGTCTGTGCTCAGGAACACGACGTCACCGGGCTGAAGAGAAGGGTGTGCTTCTCTGCTGCCCTGGCCTGATTTCCCCTCCTTCTCACTGGAATCCCTTGATAAGGGTGTTGTGGGGCCTCATGGCGGGGGAGAAAATTCATTAACCTCAACTCCCCTGGTACATGACTGGTTTGAGTCTGGAGAAGAAGACAGACATTCCTATTGCTTGTGATTGCTGTAGGTTAGCAGGGATTATCAGGGAAACTTCCCAGTTGTCCAAGACTAACTGGTGTGTTGGTGCCAGCTGATGGTGCTCAAAGGGCTGAGTAAACAATTGTAAAGAATTTCAGCTCCAGGTTGTATCTGGTGAAGTTGTTTCTTGCTGTTGGCTCATGAAGAAGGCAAAAGGTTCTTCAGCAACAAGCAAGAACCAGGCTGTAGCGTGAAACAGCCAGACAGGCCCTTTAACAGTGCTGGGAGACGGAGGACCAGGGCTCTGAGGTCAGGCAGGTGTAGTTTCCTGCTGCTTCATGTTTCAAATCAGACAGATTTCTGCATCTCATCACTGTGTTGTGGAGGAATATATTCATATCTTGGATTAAATTCCAGGTGTTGTACATATATATTTACATATATATGCACTACAGAAAGGACTGTATTACTGTGTACTGAACCTCCTTTATGTCATTAATCCTTCATCATTTTGCCCGCGTGTTCAGTCAGATACAGAAGGTAATAGAACTGTACCTGAGAATTCAGTTTTGCACAGACTGTGTGTTTTGGCTCTTGGATAATGAGGGTATTTTTGGAGACGATTTGCAATTAAGTAAAAGGGGATGCTGATGTTTGTAAATACAGATGTTCATTAAACAGTTAGGCAATTCCTTTTTAAATTACCCTTGTCCTTTGCATATTCTATCTTAGCATGATTCAAACTAACTGCTTATTTTTATTTTATCCAACTGTTTGTTTTCACTGTCGTGGCATTGTGCACGCATTCCTTTCAATCTGCTGTTTGGCTTTTTTTCAGTTGCTCAGACATCAAAGTCAGAGTGGAATTGTGTTCACTCTTATTGCATAGTGCTTCTCAGACCTAATTGCATTTGAAGGTAAAGAATGCTCTGGCTCAGTTCTGCTGTCTATTGGAGACAGTCTGAAAAAATCATAAGTTTATGCCAGTTTAAGAGTATTTTACATATGCAAACACGTTTGTATAGAAAAAGAAAAGTAAATATTACCAGTGTGTATCTGCATTCTGTAGTATAAGTCATCTATAACTATATATAGGCATACACACATACACATACAATAAAAAATGCATGCAGCTCAGTCTCGTAACTTGCTAATGACAGAATTGCTGCAGCAGGGTAGGCTGTGAGCTGTTTCAAAGCATCATCATTTCCCTTCTGCTTTTTTGCACTGGATGAAATGCGTTTGACTGTAGCAGTGATAAGAAACGCGTATCGGAGGTGGGAACAGGTGTGTGACAGTGTTTTTGTTCAGTTCCTTTGCAGATCAACGCAGTATGGAACACAAAATGCTTAAAGCATTAAATGCTAAATGTAAATAGAGGTGGCTCAGCCACCTGCCCTGCAGTGCAGCAGTACAGGTGTCTGTCATGCTTAGAGGGGACTGATAAGAGCAGAATGTGATACTGAGCAGTAGCGTTCTCCAGAGAAAAGGTGAACAAATGATTGGTTCAGGTCTGGAAATGTGATTTGTATCTGTGATATAACCCTTTTTTTTGACTTGGTGAAGTTCATGATTGCTGGTAAGTGAAGTTTTACTGTGTTTGACGACTTAGTTAAATTCCTTTTTGTACCTTACTGCCAAAATGATCTGTGTTGTCATAATGAAAATTTGAAGGGTCTTCTGGTTGTTGCTTTTCTCCAATTCACATTTTTAGACTTGACTAATTAAGTGCTGCATTATGTGACACAAACACATGATTTTTCCAGTTTCAAGGAACAGCAAAAGCAGAGGTGTTCTTCCTTTAAAAGGTGTGAAAACTCATGCCTTTTTCCAGTGAAGCTTTTACAAAGCATTCAGCCATTTATTTGGACTTAAACCAGAGCGCAGATTACCTACGGGTAGTTGAAGTAGCGCCACACTAGAGGTAAGTGGAAATCAACCATCCTTATGACTTAAAGCAGAGCCGTTTTTCTGGCCAATTTTTCAACCACCAACTTTTTTTCCGGCTTACTGTCTGGAATCATGTTAGCACTTCTCTCTGCTCTCAGTGTTACTGAGGGGCGTTTTTCCTGAACTCTCTGCAGCCCGCTCTGTGTTATGTTCCGGCAGAAATCCACGTGCAGTGTTTGCAGTGATCCCCCATAGAGGATTGCTGCTTCCAGAGTCTGGTCAGTGATCCGCGCGCAGTTTTCCAGTTTGAGTGTCCTGAGGCTTGGGCAGTTCTTGAGGAGAAGCAAAAGGCAATCATCTGTAACGTGGCCGCATCCTGAGAGGGTCAGAGATAGCAGGTTGGGACATCTGAAACGTAATTGTGAAGGTGAGATGAGGGGAGAATAAATGACATACAGAACTTGGAGAAGCCACTGTCTTGAAAAATAAATATTGAAGTTGAAAAAATATTTCCTCTTCCACCAGGGAGGGTAAGAAAGCATGATTAGGGAGGGACACAAATAGGCCTGAAAGCTCAGCTTTTCTTATCATGGCACTCTTATTTACCTTCCTTTGCTTTTTCTGTTGCTGTCAGCATCTGTAGCTCAGTTGGCAGAATGGAGAAGGGGAAGTGGATGTGTACATAAGCTGATGAAGACCCCGTAGAGATCATGGGTTCGGGTCAGAATTGATTTGTGGGCAAGTCAGTGAAGCTTTGTAGACATTCTGAGCATAGGCAAGTAAGACACTTCCACTCTCATGATTTTATGGGGCTTTGCGTGTGCACTGCAACTCTTTGGTTTACTGAGTGGGTGCCAGCATCTCCCTTAGTGGGGTTTGTTGATGTTTGGTACCCACACAATTCATTCAAATAATTGAAACTGGTAATAACTCTACTGTTAAATGTCACAGAAAATTGAAAAAAGCTTTAAAAAAAAAAAAACACCTGTGTATGCTGTTTGTGTAGACCTGAGAAAGTGCAGGGAAGTCCTATTTCAAGTCAGTATGTTTATGATGTACACTGCCTGTGCAGGCGGGTTCCTTGCTGCTACACTAACCAGGCATGTTTGCAAGAGCCTTATGCACCAATCCCCCAGTCTTTCTGTACATTGTTTGCTTTCTTGCTTACAGCTTTCTCTGAGCAGCACCAGGACTTCTTTAGGCTCTGCTGTTGAGGGAGAAAGTGATTACAGTAACATTAATGTTGATCTTGAGAGACATCAGTGCAAGACTGCCAGCCTACCTGTGCCTGCAGCAACAGGGAGCACTTCTGTCTGAAAATTTGTGCTCAAAGGTTGTACTGGGTTTAAGGTGTGGTGTACAGCAGTGGGGACAAACAAGGGACTCTCTGTTCTTTACCACAGCTGGACAGCCATAACTGCAGCATATTCTTTTTTACCTTAAAAAAACAGTACATCCTTTTCCACCCAGATGCTGCTTTTACCCCCCAGATGCTGCTTGATTTCTCCTTTAGAGCAGAGGTAATAGTGAGATCATGCCAGCCACATTCTCTTCTTTTTGTGTATGCTTGTGAACAGTTAGAAAAATATGTGCAAAAGTTAAGGAAGGATCTGACAAACCCATCTTGCACAGTTTCATCAACAGAACTGAAGTACTCATACTTCAGAGAGCAAAGTTAAATATTAATTTAATATTTCTTGGTGCAGAGTGCTAGGAATTCTGTTGCAATGCTTTAGGAGGGTTGCTTCACAGACCTGGGGAGGCTAACATGGCTGAGGTGCATCACTGTTAATGTAACTGTCATTTTTAGGAGTGGAGATTTAACTTAAGGACATTAATGTGTTTAGAGGTGGCTGCTGAACTTGGATGGAATCCTTGCTACCCCACCTTTGCATTTTGTACAGCAAATAATCTTTACGTATTCTGTAGAGAGGAAGACACTTCAGTGTTAAACTGTCTGCAGAGCAGTGGTGTGCTGCCCTTCCTGAATTCTTATTTGTGATGGCAAAATGGAAGAAAGGGTTAAGCGTGGCATCTTGGTGGACATGCCAGTGCCCAGAATGAGGGAATGGTTATTGCCATGCCCCTCCTTCCTAGGGACAGATGTCTTTCCTAATGGTCTGTGGCCCATTGATCAGAAGTGTTTATCAGCTGTTGTCAGTTACTCAGGAATTTTTCTACTGAAAATTTGCATTCTATTCTGATCCAGTATTTTAGTCTTTTTTGCCCTGTTGCTGGTTCTCACTGGCACCCTGCATTCTGTCACTGTCCCAGTTTGTTGGTGGATTTAAAGTGTTACTTCCAAACAGAGCTTTCTGTTTGGCACGTTTCGGCACTGAGCTGGGGGCTGGCTGCAGCACAGAGGTGTGCTGTTCCAGCTCTGAGCTGGCCAGTGCCACCCTTGCTGTTACTGAAATGCACTGGGATTGGTTCTGACTTACATTTGCTCCTCCTAATGCAGGTTAGCACTTTTTTTCTTAGAGCTGCTCTGTGGCACTGAAGCTGTTAGAAGAAGCAATGTGGTCTGAGAGCTATTTTTCCATAGTGGCACTTTTCTTCTACTGCAGCTTATAAAACCCACAGACATGGTTAAACTCCAGTAGTAAAGAAATACTGTTTAGTAATGCCCTTGTTTTTATACTTTCACAATGTGAAACCATGCCTTTCCCTCAGGAGTTCCCCCTGGTCAATCCTCTACATTGACCAAATGGTTGAGTTAAGCAGCTGTTTACTAAACAGTATTGCACTTTCCTGTATTAATTAAGCATTCTTCCAATAAAAGGGAAAAAATATAAGCTTAAGGAAAGTTGATGAGAAAATGCACTATTCCCAGTATAAAATCAACAGTAAAACTGCACAATCCAAGCACTCACTCTCTGCCCCATTTCAGTCAGGTAGGTGGTATGGAGTTGAGTCAACCCTTCTAAATGTTGTAGTTTCAAAGCAGCTAACTTTTACAGTAATGCAGAATAAATTCCACACCCAAAGCACATACCTGTTGCCAACTTCTAGTAAAAAATCAGTGACAGTGTTCTCATGCCTGCTACAGAAGTCTTTCTGGAAATTGTTTTTCATCCAGTCCTCAATGTTACACACCTTGACTCTCTCTGAATACCAGCAGATGGACAAGTATTTTAAAGCAGGTCCCAGGAGGAAGTTACGCTTCTGTAGTTCCACTGGAGAATTAAAGTTCAGTAAAGACCAAAGCACAGGATCTTGAAACACTTCTAGCAATTTATGACATGTTTTTGCTAAACTTTTCCTGCTGTTTTTGTCCAAAAAGGAAAAGAGATGCAGGAGGCATTCCCGATTCAGCTGGGTTATGTGCATAGCCCTTGCAGCGTGCTCAGGAGCTGACAGTCTGCTGGCACTGGAATGATGGCAGTGCTGGAAGGCGTTGGGAACACCAGAATGCTGTTGCTCATATATGGTTGTGGAATGGTGTTTATTTTTGGCCAACAACTGGTGCAGAAGTTAAGAATGGAGAAGGGATAAGGGCAATGCGTGTTGAAACTGTTGTTCCTTCAAGGGAATGGAATGGGCATGTAGAAAACAGCAGGGGTTGACTTTCACAGAATGCTTCCTTATAAGGGATCTTTTTATTTTATTTATTTTTAGGCAAGCCTGTTACTTAGCAAAGAGCTGGCGCTGTGTTAATGAATGGGAAGGGGCAGAGGGTGGTCCTGATGTGAGGAGATGCTCTGCCAGCCTCTCGTGTCCCAAACTTAGCTTTTACAGCATATGGTAACTTTATTCCTTTTCATTCATTACTCTAAGGCTGCACTTTTGCCTCCTGTTCAATGATTAGCACACCGGAATTCAAGAGGCTCATTCAAAAAATTCCAGTAACAGCTGGGGGGGTGGTTGGGGGGTTGGAATTAAAAGCAGTAATGACCAGCCCTGTGCCTTTCTGTGTTTGTGAAGAAAAAAAAGTGTGTGATGGATTATATCCATCTGTCCAGTGATATTATTAACTCCTTTGTAAGTGTGCAGAGCGAAACAGCTCCTGAGGGATTTTTTTTTTCATGCATCTTTTTTGTACCTGGCAAATTTTATGTACATATATATTTTAATTGCATTTGTCTCAGTATGAGAGGGTTAAATGGAACCGAAGTTCAACTTCTATTTTTTGATCCAAAATGTCAGTTTGTAACTAAACTCTGACAAACAAGAGAAAAATCTATTTGCAGTCTGCAGCAGTTTTGTTACTTCTGATCATGGCATGAGTAATGCATACTCCTTGGCCACAGGGGCTCAAAGAAAACAACTAGTGGGCTCAGTGCAGTTCTTTCAAGTTAGTAATTTTCTTCTGTAAATGCTAAGTTGTGCTTATTGACTGCCTTTTTGGTTTCATATCCTTTGTCAGTAAGCATTTTCCTTCAAGTTAGAAGGGTAATCCTGCTTCCTTCCCCTGCCCAGAAACTGGCTATGGCCAGTAGCATCAGGACTTTATCAAGCTATAGACAAGAGTAGATGATGTCACGTACCAGGTAAGCCAGTCACTGGAGAATTGCAGCTTACATGACATGATGCTGGGAATTGGTCTGTGTTCTCAGACTAGCTTTTCAAACTCAGTCTCTTCCTACCTTGTTTTTAGAACTTACTTTCACTTTTGAAAAGGATAAAACAGTTGAGGCTACTCCAGAGTTGTAATAAACACAAGAATATTATTTTAAGGAAAAACACAAGCAAACAAGCAAACTCTAATTATGAAGTTACAATTGCTGGGGGTGGTCTTCTGAAGCACACAGAGGACACACTGTGGTCTGACCAATTATAACAGCTGTTGTATGACAAGACCTGGTACAGCTGGGTCCTCTTTGGGTTTAAAGGTTCTGGTTCTGATAGAGGTATTAAACAGTGAGAGCACTGAAATGTTCTTAACTGTTTTTCTCTGAGCAAGGGTGGCAAACTGATGAACACTAATGAGACTCTGAAAGCCTGCAGAAGGACAAGAGAAGTTTCACTGCCTAAGGAAAAAGAGACACTTTAATGGCACGTTTTCCATAAACACTGTGTGAGTAAGATGTAATTCACATTCATCCTGGAAATGCTCCAATAACACACAAGATGAGCACAGTCAGTGATCCCCACTGAAAATTACACACAATTTTAATGGTAAACAATTACAACTATGGCACTACAGTACTTGAGGATATCCTAAAGCACATTGGAATCAGTTTTCAAGGTGCCGATTACCTCATCAGTAAGACACAGACACATCAGCAATGAAACACGGGGGAGGCTGTTGAACACCAACTGTTATGCTTTCCACTGCTTTAGCAAAATCCTTGTAAATGGTCTTCAGCTTCTGAAACACATCCATTGATCCCCACAAGCTTTAAACTCTCGTCTCACACAGCTGTTCACACCTGGAAAAATCCCTTCTGCCTACGCAACAAGAAAGAGCTCCGTCAATGCTGTAGCATTTTGCATAATGCCACACTCACTGAAATGCTCAATATGCAACACACCGGAGCACAAGTGTTCTGAGAGCTGGGCATTCTGCAGTTCTCTTTGACATGAATCACGTCTCCAGTTGTGTACATGGCTAAACAGTGACTAACAAAAAAGGGTAACCCTCGATCAGACAAATTTTGATGAAAAATATGGAAGTCTGTGCAGAGCAGTCACAAGCAAGACAAATTCTTGCCTGTTAGCATGTACTACGATCAGCAGTTAAGTAGAAACATTTGGCTTGAATGAAATGAGATATCCCTCCCCTCCCACAAGCTAGTAGATAAATATAGGCTATACAAGTAAGGTTAAAAATGTAATACTAGGCCAGGTGCAGTATAGGTTACTGGTTCAGTGCTTACTTTTTTTTTTTTTCTTCTGACACCACACTGAATAGAATACAGTGGATAAGCAAAGTTCTCCACCAGGAAGAGAAATACTTGTGTTGCCACAACAAACTGTTCATGCTGTCCATCTGGTTTTGCAGTGGGAGAAAGTTAAATTAGGAAAGGGTTTATATGTATTTGTTCCAGGAAAGCATATGGCTAAGTCCGTACACCACGTGCTGCAAGAAACAAGGCTGATGTGATTGCACTGCGTTCCCATGGCCACATCTGACACGGACCATGCTGGATACCGTCGCCCAAGACCTTAACGTTACAGAGAAAGTGTTACTGAAAGTAAATGCTTAAGTGAGAAATTGGTCTGACCCCAAAAATCAACAGAAATAAGAAGCTGCTTAAAACAAGTACGTGAATGGCGATGAAGATTACAAATTAAGTTCTTACAATTACAGAAAGGCACATTTACATCACTAGTTTGCATACACCTGACTCCTGCCCGTTAAACTGTTTCTGGCCCACAGCTAGTTGTGCAGTTTAAGGTTTGTATTCCCTGCACTAAAACTCCAGAAAGCAATGCAAGCCAAGCAGCAAGCAGACATGGATGGAACTGACTTAATGCCCCAGCTGGGAGCAGCAGGGCTGCCCTCTGGGGTTTAAATGCTGTAAAAAATATTTCACATCCCACACAACAGTGAAGTCTGTCAAATGTCTTCTGTGTGAAACTGAGAAAGGCGAGCTAACAAACTATCTGCAGTTTAAACAATTAAGAGTTCTATTTACTGCTCAACCTGAGGATATATAGAATCTATTGTGAATATCTGGATGTATATATAGACTCCCATAATGTAAAATATATAGATATGGGAGTCTATATATATAGACTATCAATGGCAGTCTATATATACCATATATACATGCATATATATATATATATACATATATATATATATATATATATATATATATAATACACACACACTTCCATTAATGTACCAGATAATCACAATAGATTTTAAATAATGTTCAGTTCACATATTCATACACCATGAGCAAAATGCAACATTTTCCACAGCTTTTATATTAAGTCAGTCAATCTCTCCTGGTTTAAGGAGAAAAAACCATAAGACTGACATTTTAAAAGGAACTCACCTGACCATAATTTCTGTTCATATTTCTACCAGGTAACCCACAGCAAGGAAGCAGGAGCTTACCCATCTGCACTAGGTTGAGCTACATGTACAATTTGCAGGGAAATTTCTGCTGCATATTTGGTCTTTTTGGAAGCATTAAATGAAAAGAGTACTCACATGTTAAACTTCAGTTCTTGGGTGTTTTCAGGCTAGTATAGTCTACTGATAGCATGCTCTACGTGAAGTAAAAAGCTATTCTTACCACCAAGCTTTTCAGATTGCAGGAACGTCCAGTTAGTGGCTGGGCAGTAGGTAGATAGCTGGAAAGCGTGGGGCGCAAGGAAGCACTGAAATGAAGCATTTGTCAGATTTTGGGTGTTTTCAGAATTCCTGGGTTTTGCAACATTTTCTCCTGACCACCTTTTTAGAATCTCACTAACAGCGATTATCTGACTTCCACTATGTGGAGGAGGAGTAGAGCTGAAAACTCTGAATAGCTGTCTTTCTCCACTGCATAGTCAGGTCTCACAAATTGCATCAATCCCACCATCTGTGTAAACCTTGAGACTGAAAATGGAAAGATCCCACACCGGGCTAACAGATAAATACTGCAGCTTACCGGAATCTGCTCCAGTCAACAAGCACTTCTGCATTACCCTTCAGGCTGTTTTCCCTTTAGTTCGTATTTGAAGTGATAAATTTCACATCAAGCATCTCAAACTCTATCCGCTTCCTTTCCAAGTGAACTACAGGCACTGAAGCAGACAGAATATACTCAGGCCTAAGGGTGTTCTCACAACCCCACACTTAGGGGCTGTGCTCCCAGTTCCCAGATGGAAAGAGAGCTGGGGTCCCACTGCCAGGAATTCTCTGAGTTTTAAAGCAAAGAAGTGTTCATGATCAAACTTTAGGATTACAGTCTAGCAAAGAGGCAACTTTTAACAATTCAAGTCTGATTAGAAAAAAATAATAAAATTAACCAAGACAATTTAGATGCATATATTTTAAGGTAATTTTTAAAGACGTTTTGGGGGTGGGAAAAGCATATGTGAAGAATACTTGAATTATTCTGCAGTATAGATACAATTAAACCAACTGTTTATTTACAACAATTCATGAAATTCAGCAGCCTGAATACACACCAATATAGCAGCTATAGCAGCAATTACCTGGTCTATAATGATGCTGCATTCATCTCTTCTGCAGACAAAGAATGACTGGTCAGAGGTCACAGCTTACTTTCTTGCACGAGGTAAAACATTACGTGCAAGAAATTCCTTGATCTATATAACAGCTGTGAGAGCAACATAGTTATACTGCTCTGTGTGATGAGCACATTTGTCTTGCTTGTGAGGAGAACAGAAAGCTTCTCTGATGTAAATGTGCCTTTAGAAAGTGAGAACTGGAAACATTAATATAAAAAAAGTCAAATAACTAGGTATTTCATGAAACTATATATATATAAAAATTGAGTTATCACAACTAAAGCAGCAAATCAAAATCTGCTGAGGTTTTCTGGTATAACTAAAAAAAAGTTAGTTTGTGTCCAAGTTCAGTAAGTCAAATGCTACCACTGACATGACAAAACTAAAACCCACAAGAGGAAATTGAAAAGTGCACAATGAAATTAATAGTCTTGGATCAAGTATTTATGGAAAAATGGAAATGTTTTGTCCCGTGGACTTGATAAGTGAGAATTAAAAGGAGGTATTAAAGTTTATCTGATCCAGATTTGGCTTGCCGTTCCACATAGAAGAGGATGTAGGCCTTGGCCTTTACCACAGTCTCCTCGTCGGTCAGAGTTACAGTACTGTCGTTGAAATGGAACCAACGACCTTCGTGAGCTGCGTACGCAGTGTAATGTCCAGATCCAACGCTGTCAGCACGGCAGGGAGAAGAGAGAAAGGACAATCAGAAAGAGACTGACCATGTGCTGCTAGGCAGTAATGGACTAGGAGACTTCCAGGAACTGACAGCTCTCTACAGCAGACGGTATGACTCTTCCCTTCTTCATTGTGGAGCTCTAAGTTCTCTGATCAAGGTTTCACGCTGAGTTAAATTTGGGTTTTTAAATATCAACTTCCTAGCATGCCACTGTTTTTGTGCAAGCAAGGCTTCTTGCAACACAGAACTTCCACATTTGCCTACAGGGAAGTCAAGCATTAGCTATGAAGATTGTACTGTGCTTTGTTTTTACAGAACATTTGCCCACTGAGGTCTAAAGAAACCCCTAAATTTAATCAAGAGCACCCGCAGCAAAACAAATACTAGGCTACTAAAAAAAGTCCTTCAAGAGCAGTTTAAACAGACCCAAGCTTTGGAGCCACATCTTGAATCTAAGAGCTATACCCTCTCAATTTTCATCCCCTGCCACTCAAGACAAGGCTTGCTCTCATTTCTGTGTGCTGCTGCAACACATTAATGGTTCCAGCCACCTCATTCTGTCCTAGCCATGGCTGGCTCTCCCTTAATGCCTGTAGTTTTCCCTTGACCTCAAAGCACCAGTCAGATGCACTGTGGTGCTACGAAGGCTGCCTTTAGGAGTCTTGTCTTTTAGATTGTCCACCCTCTGTTTCAAGCAGAAAGAGTGGTTCTGCAGACAAAATTTTGTTTAGTATCTTTGAATTAAATTTGGTTATCAACAAGGATTTGATTAATATGACAGTTTCCTTAGAAAGGACTTTAGAAGGGGTTTTTTTAAACCCCTTCACAGCCTGAAGTGACTTCTTACAACTACAGCTTCTTCCCTGGACAGACAGCTGTTTTGTCACTACTGCAGTTATTCTCAACAGTTCCACCCAGGGTTGGGAAACAAAAAACAAAAAAACAAACAAAAAAAAACAAACAAAAAAAACCCCCACCAAACTTAAACAACCCATACCCAGCAATTTCAATTCAAAATACAAATAGTACTCAGCTTTGTGACACGTCTATTAGCATTCACTTTGAGGTTTCACTCCTGTAGGAGAAACGACTGTACCACTACTACATGTGTTTCAAACTCACACACTCTGGCATAAACACATACGTGCATTGCAAACTGAAGAGAAAAACATCTTTGCCTTATACTAAGAATGTTAAAATGAAGCACAAACGGCTGGAAGGACCCTTTATTCAGCGTTAGTTTTCATGCTTTTCATTCTCTCACTTTAGTGATTACCCCTAGAGACTGCCAAGGGGAATTCATGGGAATAACTACATCATAAATGTATCCGTCTGATGTTATTTCAGCCCAGTTCCACAGAAGCTTGTAAATTACTGCATGTTTCCACCAGTGACATATACAGACATTCACCAGGAGAAGAAAAGCCTTAAATAAGCTGGCATGTAATTCAGTGAGGAGATCTCTGCCCTGAAGCAGGCTTACTCCATGTACTCACCCTGAGCCATGATGCACAACAACAGCTGCAAGGTCATAGAGACAGCTTTCTGGGCCACTGTTTTCAGGCTGCAGTTAAAAAGACAAAACTCTTCAGATCTCAGCGATACCTGCTGTAATTTGTAACAAAGACATATGTGATGTAAAGAATTTCTCTAGGAGGTTGCCATGGGAGTCTCCATACCTCTAACAGGTAACATTTCATGTCTAGGCCTCGTAAGGGAAACTCAACGTATGTATCAACTTTGTTTCTTAGATATGCTGTCCAGTGAAATCGTTTCAAGTGTAAGCATAGCACCTAAGGGATTAATAAAATAAAACAAGCATTAGAGGAACTGGCTGAATTTGCTTCTACCTATCTGGAAGGCTCAGGTGTTGGTCCAGGAACAGCTGAGCAGCCGTTTCTTTGACAAACTGCCATGCTTTTACTTTTCATGTTTATACAAACCTTTGGTAGTTTCTGAATCCAGAATTTTTTGGTGGACTTCTGTTTCTTTTTGCATTTATGACACATATACAGCTCTGTCTCATCAAGTTCTTCCAGGTCTGTAAAACTGCGAAGACAATCTGGAAACAAAAACAACACACACAAATCTAAATCAAGATTATAGCAAATGATCTTTGTAACATAAAACGCAGCAAACTCAGCAGCATAAAGGTGCTCCTGCACTGCAGTCTTGTTAATCTACAGGTTGTGCTCCAAAAATCTGCAGCTGGCACAAACCAGCAGGTTCTGACATGCAGTGTTCCTTGCTCCTTTCAACAAAGACAGCTATAAGCAGTTCCAGAGGGAAAAAAAAAGACTCCTTCAAACAAGATTCCTTCCCACCGCTCAGCACAATGGTTTATTTCATTGTAATTCCATTACGTTCCAGTAACAAATGTTCAACTTACAGAAATAATCTGGTTTTAAGTACAGGATGAGCAGAGGAAAAAAAAAAAAAAATGTTTTTTCACGTAGTGTTTTGCAATTTCCATCAGGTAGATTTATGAATGCATCAAAATTAACATCCTTTAAAACAAGATCAATCACAGCAACTCTGCCAAGCTTTACAGGACTGTGTTCACGCTGTTTAAAAAGCAGAGACTCACAAGAGTCAATCTCACTCTGCACGAGGGGCACGCTCACAAAACGTGCTGTAAGCACAGTGCCTCAGCAGTACAGCTGTTACAGACTGACATACACAAATGTGGGCTGGAAAAACTGGACAAGATGGAAAGCACTGACCATGAAGAAAACAGCGCCGGTATTTTCCTGGGCATTCAGCTGAGCTGCACATCTCAAACCAAAGCACATCTCCGCCCCAGTTTATTAAAGCAGCACTTCAATACGTAGTGATGGGTGAGGCATACGTGGAAAATTGTTTTTGCACCTTTTTCTACTGCAGCAT